CCTGGCTGCAACAACTCCGTGGCGAGGCCTTGGGAAAGACGTCGCCTTTGTGCTACTTCGTGTGTGTGTGGTGGGGGGGGGGGATACAGATGGGGCAGCTCCCCCTTGACACCCCAAATATAGGCCGGGGGGGGTGCGTGGAGGCAGGGTTTGGGGCAGTGATGTCCCCCCACCCCTTCCAAATTTTTGCATGTGTCTCCTGCCCGGGTTCAGGGCTGCCAAAGGCATGTCTTGGAGGTGTCAATGTGGGGGATTGGCGGGGGGGTAGGGAGGGGCAGGGGGTCCCCCAGGCTGATGAGGGGGGGATAGAGCTTGCCGAGCAGGAGGGCGGCCGGGGGCTGTCGGTAAGGCTTGAGGGCAGCCCGGCAGCCCAGTTCCCGCAGCCACCGGCCGGCGTAGCAGGCCAGCATCACCGCGCACAGGGCCACCAGCAGCGAGCCCGTCATGGCCACCAGGGCCACGCCCCCCGGCCCCTGCCCGGCCAGCCCCAGCCCCGCCGTGGTCACGTTCAGGCAGGCCCGCTGCGTGCCTGGGGACGCCGGAGCAGAGGCAGTTGCGAGGGAGAAGTCCTCGGTCGCTTGGGAGGATGCCGGGATTGCCGTGGCGGATACGGTTGCTAAGGAAGATGCAGCAGTTGCCAGAGAGGATCCGGTTGCTAGGGAGGCGGCGGTTGCTAGGGAGGAGGTGGTTGCTGTGGAGAAGGATCCGGTTGCTAGGGAGGCGGCGGTTGCTGTGGAGAAGGATGCGGTTGCTAGGGAGGCCGGTGCACCGGAGGATGCTGTTGCTATGGTGGAGGGCGTTGCCACGGTGGCCGGGGTGGGCGTCTCCGTGGCCACCAGGCTCAAGCAGATCTCGTAGTGCGTGGCCGGCTGCAGGTGCGTCAGGTTGACCTGCCGGCTGTTCAGCGGCACCTGGGCCGTGTAGCTGAGGTGGGGGCTGTGGACGTGCACGGTGGCCGAGGCCCAGCGGGGGCCACGGAGACCAGTCCCCCCCAGTCCACTCCACCACCACAAAATGGGACTGGACCTTCGTGAGCAAGGCTGGACCGCCCCTGCCGCCCACCTTCCCCCCTGGCCTCCCCGCCGCGCCCCCCAGCACCTCCAGCATCAGGCCGAGCCCGCCTCGTTCCGCGCCACGCAGGTGTACTGCCCAGCATGGGCCGGTCCCACCCCGACCAGCTCCACGGCCCCCCCGGCCTGTCCCGAGCCAGCCAGCCTCTCCCCGGCCGGCCCCAGCCAGGAGATCTCCGGGGGCGGCTCGGCGCTGGCCGGGCAGCTCAGGGTGACGGAGCCGCCGGGCGCCACCTCCAGCCTCTCGGGCCAGCCCCGGGGGGGGAACGCCGGGGGGCAGCCCCGGCTCCCGCTGCCCTGCAGCCCCTCCCGCAGCTCCCCAATGGGGTTCTCGTTCAGGTCCCGGAACCTGAGCTGGGGCAGGCGGCGCAGGGCGGGCGCCGGCACCCGGGCCAGCCGGTTGCGGAAGAGCGAGAGGCTCTCCATCTCCGCCAGCCCCTGGAAGGCCTCGGCCGGTAGGTCCCGCAGCCCCAGGCCGGCCAGCCCCAAGCTCTGCAGCCACCC